CATCAGACTAGAGACTATAAGACCCTGTGATATTCAATTCCTTTCAGTGCATTCTATGCTGCTAATTTTCATGATTAACACCTATCTTTTTGTAGTCTTTTTGAGAAATGATCTCATTGCTTTTCAAAGATGCTTGCGTTTGTGATTTGTTGGTTGCATTTGATTTTAATCCTTAATTCCTGCTCAATTTGCAATATTCCATCAGGGAAATTTTGATCTGGTAGGGAACAACTTCCCCGTCTTCTTCATCCGTGATGGAATGAAGTTCCCTGACATGGTCCATGCTCTGAAGCCAAATCCTAAGTCCCATATCCAGGAGAATTGGAGGGTCCTTGATTTTTTCTCTCATCATCCCGAAAGCCTGCACATGTTCACTTTCCTCTTCGACGATATTGGTATTCCACAAGATTACAGGCATATGGACGGGTCTGGTGTCCACACATTCACATTGATCAACAGGGCTGGGAAATCAACTTATGTGAAGTTCCACTGGAAGCCCACATGTGGTGTCAAGTCCTTGTTGGAAGAAGAGGCAATCCGAGTCGGAGGAGCAAATCACAGCCATGCTACTCAGGACCTCTATGACTCTATTGCAGCTGGAAATTATCCTGAATGGAAGCTCTTCATTCAGATTATGGATCCAGATCATGAAGACAAATTTGACTTTGATCCACTTGATGTGACAAAAACTTGGCCAGAGGATATCTTGCCTTTGCAGCCGGTGGGAAGATTAGTTCTGAACAAGAACATTGATAACTTTTTTAATGAGAACGAGCAGCTAGCTTTCTGCCCTTCTATTGTGGTTCCAGGGGTTTATTACTCAGATGATAAGATGCTTCAAACTCGTATTTTCTCCTACTCTGATACCCAGAGGTATCGACTTGGACCAAATTATTTGCAACTTCCTGCTAATGCTCCAAAGTGTGCTCATCACAACAATCACTATGATGGCTCTATGAATTTTATGCACAGGGATGAGGAGGTACGTTCTCTCTCCTTCCATAACGGGACATATATATCCCTGAATTTTATGATCTTAATCTTTTAAGATTTTTTACACAATCAGGTTAACATTTTTTTAATTTTTACCGTGTGTAACAATAAGTTAATTTTCATAGCAAAGGTGATATAGTAACTTAAAAGATGGGGAAATAGCCAGTTATGTTGCACTGATATTGTAAAAGTTCTTTACATGTCGGTGTATGTAACTTAAATCCTACGCTAATACCACATAATACCAATACGTCATTGCAGCAAATGGCATGTCTTTAGCTTAGCTTGGAAGTTCATACACATTGAAATAGTTCGTCTGATATGTTGACTGTAGTGTCATAACTTTTAGTTTATTTACTGTTTTAATTATGATGTTACTTTATAATAGTTAATGCCTGGTTAATTACAGATCGACTACTTCCCTTCAAGGTATGATCAAGTTCGCCATGCTGAGGTGTATCCTATTCCTTCAACAGTTTGCAGTGGCAAACGTGAGAAGGTTTGTTCCTTTTTACCTATTATCTAAACGCTTGAAGCTGAATTAAGACTAAAACTTGTGAAGCAGTGTAACTAGATATTCAACACAACTTATTTTAACTTTTGTGCATCTGAATTTCTTACAGTGCATCATTCAAAAAGAGAACAATTTCAAGCAACCAGGAGAAAGGTACCGCACATTCACACCCGACAGGTAAACATGATTGACATATCTTAAACTGTGTTGTTGTTAAGTTAACATTTTCAGAAGTTCTAAACCCCATCTCCTTCAATCTGTTTGATATACTTGTTTTTTCATTCACAGACAAGAACGCTTTATTCGTCGGTGGGTGGAGGCCTTGTCTGATCCTCGTATAACTTATGAAATACGCAGCATTTGGATCACATACTGGTCTCAGGTCAGTACTCTATCATACCCTATATTTATCTGTGTTAGGCAGAGGTGGATTTAGGATAGATTTTTCTGGTCAAACTGAACTCGTGCTTTTGTTCAAATATGCAAAGAAACTTTAGAAGGCATACATATTATAAGATCATACTCATTCTAAACCTACTAACTACAAACTTAGAACTCGCTTCTAGACTATTAGGTCAAATATTCTCAAGCTAGACTTTATCTTGGCAGTAAATTTCATAGAGCGACGATTGATTCTGTAAATTTCTTGACAATGTTAAATGGATTACTGCAGGCTGACAAGTCTCTGGGTCAAAAGCTTGCATCTAGGCTTAATGTGAGACCAAGCATATGAAGACGAAGCTTTTAAATGGTTTCAGAGGAGGTGATGATCTCAATGCGAGAGTTTTAATAACTCATTCCAGTTATATAGCAAGATGTATAATGTGACGGATGATCATATTTAGATGAAATAAGGAGCATTCCCAATACATATGCATTTGTTATTGTGTTGCTGTTGTAATATGAATGAATGAATGAGTGAAGCAATGGTAATTACAAATAATATTTATGTTCTAAGTTGTACACTTATTTATCAGTATTGTCATGAATGTTTTTGGGTCCCAACATATAGCATACAGTTGACTCGTATGGATATTGTAAATATGCATTTGCTGCATCGAGAAGGAAATGTTTAATTAAGAAGAAGAGAGTGAAGTGCTTTAATATAGATGTGGAGCACCAACCCTCTTTTTGAATAAATTGAAACTCGTACGAGGAAGTATTAAATCATGATCTAAAACCTAGTATTCTTTGTATTTCAATTTATATGAGTTAGTTTGACTTGATATATAGTTTAAGAAAGGAGGAAACACTTTTAAATTTGTGGTTTAAAATAAGTCAGAGACATTATTGCTACGGTTGCATTAATTAGTTAATTATGGATGAAGTATGAACAAGTTTGATTCCTTTATGGGAAGAGCAAAACAACGGAGGCGAAAGAGTACAATTATAGAGGTAATATATTTATTTATTTTTATTAAACAAAAAAAAAAAGCTACTTTAGTTTAACAACAAAAATATATTAACAAGAATTATGTATTTATTGTTGGTATAAATTGAAATTTTCATAATAATTTGTTGTTCATCTTTTATCAATTATTATGCATATATTTTCAAAATTTTACTATTTTTTGAAAATACAATTGATGTAATTATAATTAAAAATCGTAAATAAATAAATTTCCACTTACTTTCTACTTAATAATTTGTCTAATTCACTTCAATTGAATGTCTTCTCATATATTTCAAGGCTTAAATTAATTAGATTATCAAATAATAAACTTTAAAAAGACATTATATTTGGATATTTTCTAAAGCATAACGATCACTACAATATTATTGATTTAGACCTATTTTGTAATTAAAAACAAATTAAAAAATAATAGTTTATTTAGCAAACTAAATTAAGCGAATCTTTCCTGTGGTAAATCATATGGATCTTTTTAAGAACCACACTTCATTCTAATATATTGTATTGCTGTGATAAAATGTTTAAACTAATAACTCTTGTAACTTGTATTACTTTCTCTGTGTGTTCCCTCTCTTTTAATTATAGAAGAGGGGTTGATAGAACAAAAAGAATTAAGAAGAGAGTACTAGGGTGGAGAACATGATGTCGGACCTTTTTATATAGAAATCCCACTTCGAATGTACTGCATTATTTATTTGACTTATCAAAGTTTTCTCGTGAGCTTACTGATAAAAGAACAGTTCAATTCTCAGTACAGCACCTCTCAGATGCAATGTACATTTTGGTATGGCAGAGGGCAATAAAACTGAATCTTCTGCCTGACAATAACACATCTTCCATTTGCTAGAACATATATTCATTAGTTACTTCCTACAGGTTTATAGAGCTCACTCTGTCAAAAGGAAAAGATTGAATCCACGAATGAAGTAGCACTCGAACTATGAAGCAGTAGTTAATATCTCGCATTAATATCGTGATAAGAAAATGGACCTTGAGCCTAACTCAACTCAAAATATAGCTCGGAGGTGAGAATTTCCCAAGACTGTATAATGAGATCAAGTCCCCAATCCCACCACCAATATAGGACTCAACAATATGGAAAAATGCATCTTTTGGCTAGCAGAGGAAGGGAAGGTTGGGAAAATCACAATCTTGAATGAAATGCTTGAGCTTTGCTGAAACATCACATATTAGAATGCTTCATAGTTTATATGATAGATTTAAGAGCATCTGTTCATTTTTTTCCCACTTTTTGTTAAGATATCGTTAAAAACATATAGCATACCGTTGGAAACTAGGAGCGTAACCATGCGTTTTTTTTACTTCAAAAAATTATACGTTAAGAATTGATTCGTATGGATATTGTAAACATGCATTTGCTGTATCGAGAAGAAAATGTTTAATTATGTAGTTAATAGTTGAGTGACCGGTCAAAAATGATTTTTGCTGTGACATAGCTATAGCTTCTTTTTATGTGGAGTGAGTGAAGTGTTTGACATCTGCATTTGCTCAAATTTCAATAGATACTGCATTATCTGCATCAGTAGATATAGCTTCTCTGGCTTAAAGCCGTACGATCCAACTATCTCTTATACCCCTAATTGGCGCTGGGTAGTTTTAATTTTGGCATTTGTCACAACTCTCCATGCTAACAAGAAAAGGGTCAACCTGGTAGCACATCAATGTTTTGATCAACCAAAGGCAATCTCAAACATAAGAATACAATATTTTTCGAGAGGCAGAAGGCTTAAGAGAGATTGAGAGCTTCTCTATAAATCATCTTTGCTTGAGTGTCTGTAAGCCCTACATGTGGAGCACGAATGATTTTTTTTTTTTTTGAGTAAATTGAAAAATCTTATAAGAAAACAATAGATCACGACCTAAAACTACACAAGTTATTACAAACATTTTTAAATAATATATTACCTATTTAAAAATTAGTATTAAAATAGTATAAATCACAATTATTGATAACTAAAAAAAAATTAAAAAAAATTGAGAATTTTTATAAATTTCTAAATCCAGGTGCCTGATTAAAAATTTCAGTATATAAGAAGGTGACATGCAGTATTATAGGGCATTGCAGCGACATCTAAGGCATAGTTCGGTAGTCCGTTAACTCTACGCGAATCACTCCTTTAGTGCCATCTGTGTTTTTCCGCCCAAAAAATAGTGAGTAACGGAAGCTAATTGTATTTTTTCCATCTTCTCTTCTTCCCTTTCTTACAATTTTCTTGATCAAAGCCCTCACAGACTGTAGATTCGTTACTTCCCTTTTCGTTTCTCAGGCAAATTTTCTTACTCAGGTATCAAAATTTTGTCACTCTCTTGGATTTAATCATCGGTAAAATGGGGTTTCTTGATGAATTCATACAGGTCAATAACTTTTTGGGACTTTCTATGTCAAGAATGTTGTTTCTTGAGATGACTATCTTGTTTCCTAAAACTAGGTTCAATGTCGGAAATATTTGAAGGGGTAACTAGGTTTGAGTTGTTGTTGATTCTTGGAAAGAACAAAAGTTTTCTGTTTTCTATTTTCAGTCTAACAGGATGGAAATCAAGAAACTGCCGATGGCAATTACTCCCTTCCTTTCAATTTGTTTCTGCGGTTTTGAATTGATATGGAGTTCAAGAAAATAAAGAAACTTTTGAATCTTATAATTTTTAAGTAAAAAAAAAGAAAAGAAACGTTCTTGAATATCTATCCGAACATAAGTTTTATGTTTTCTCTCATTGTATGATTTTCAGTCCAACAGGATGGAAAATCAAGAAAATTACTCCCTGGTTTCATTTTGTTTTCAAGAAAATAAAGAAACTTTTGAATCTTGTGTTTTTAAGTCAAGAAAAGGAAAGAAACATTCTTTTTGAAACAACGTGAAAAAATAAAGTAAGACAAACAAGTTGAAACTGATGAATTACTTTAATGTTTTCCGAGGAAAGAACGGATTTGAACTTACACACATAATTTCTGCATTATTTTGTTCAATTAATTACATAACAGAGTTGCTCTGTTTGCACTACTAATTGCTAAGGATGTCACAGAGTGTACGTATGTTGACACATCCATATATATTACTTGTATAATCCTAGCTGCTTAATTCTTACATGTGTTGCAAGTATCAGAGATTACAATTCTTGTGTTGGTTTGTTCTATATTTTGCATATCCCACTTAAATTGATTCGCAAAGGTGATGGTTTGGTAATAAACTTTTTGTTTCAGTGTCTGTAGCATTTTAATTATGATGGAGAAGGGAGATCCTTCACAGAAATTATATACAAGGATGCGACTTTGGGAATTTCCAGACCAGTATGTTGTTGAGCCTACTGATGGATCCTGTGGTTCGTGCTTGGAGATCAGCCGCGTAGATGGGTCTGTGAAACTAATAGGTTGCTTCTTTTCCTCTTTCTGAATTTCTTCCGGACTTAAACCATTTATTAAGCTAATGATATTTATTTATTTTGGGTACTTGTTCTCTATGTCAGATGAGGTTCCAGAATGCAATTCGGTTCGTGTTCCCAAAATTCAGAAAATATTTGGTGTTATTGGCATACTAAAGCTTTTGGCTGGTAAGAAATTTTAGGAAGAACTAAAATATCAAGATTTTATTTTTTATATTTCAATAGCAGGTCAGCTCTCAGACATACATCAATAAATCTTACATTATCAGAAAAAAATTACCCTTTGTTGCTCATTCTCATGAAGATTTTGTTCCATAAAATGACTCACACATATACAAAGTATATACCAATGTCTTGGTTTTGCTCAATTATGCATTTGACAGATATCTTACATCTCAGGTATTGAGCAAAAGCAGGACTATGAAATTTAAGGCAAAAAGTTTGTCATGTCATTTAAAAACATTTTTTTGACTATTATCCTTTTCTCAAAAGAAGATTGAAAAGACATAACATGGTAGAAAGAAGTTGGAAGAGAAATATCAATTATGCATTTGATTGGTTGATATTAAAGCTTGCTCTGATCTAGTGTCTGCTGCTCTTCTGTTCAGGTTCATATGTACTGGTCATAACGGACCGTGAATGTGTTGGATCCTACTTTGGGCACCCTATCTTCAAAGTTTCATCGATGAAATTTTATCCTTGTGATCAGTCTCTCAAGAACTCTACTGCTGAAAAGGTAGGTTTCCAATTTACTATTTAATTTCCTACCCTATTTCTTTGTAATCTCATGCTGGTGTCTTCTATTTCTGTTCCTATAATCTTGCTTTGGCTTTTGGCAGAAAAACATGGAAGCTCAGTTTTCGGCACTGCTTAATGTCATAGAGAGGACTCCTGGTCTGTACTTCTCTTATGATGTCAATATAACATTGAGGTGAATTGTCTTTACAACCTTCTGACTACTTGTATGTTGCCTTTTTTCTTTTTTCCTTGTCTTGGGGTGCCATTAGAAGTTAACTAACAGCCTAGCTGCTTATTAAAATAAAATGTTATCATTATAATACTACTAAATTGTGTTTTAGCATTTTGGAGGATCTTTTTTTCCTTTTTACTCATTGAAAATTTATTTGGTATAGTGGAGGAGATGGTATCTCGAGGTTACCATCAGTAGCATTTACATAAATTTTAAGCCCTCAAAGTCTTCTTCCTGCTAGCGGACACTTATTTGTTTATCCTATGCTTCGCGATGCAATTCTACTTAAAGTTGAGTATTTGCCGTTGGGCATATTGCTTGTCAATGCTGGATGAGTTGTAAAACTCTAACTCACTTGATTGTCTTATTTTGGGATCCTATGTGTTATGTCTTCATCAATGCATGAACGATGAAGTTTAGTTGTTTGTTCTTTATGAAGACTGTTGGTTAGTGTATACCAGGCTACTTGTTTGAACTCCTCTATGCTGATCTCATATCATTGAACCCCTGAGAAGATTTTAGGTTACTTTCCTCAACAACATATTAAGGCAATTTCTCTTCTTCTTTTTATGTTCTTTCTTCATCATCTTTCTGTATGGACCTATTTAGGGTACCATTTTTAGAGGTGAATTTTATGAGTTAAAAGAACTTTTAAAATATAAAGTATCATTATTTGCAATTTGGAAGTGTTACCTTCTGCTGCCCACATGGAATTTACTTGACACATTCATATTCTTGATTATCTTTCATCTGATAGCTAAGATATCACGGTGCAGTGTTTAACAGAAAGAAACTTATGGTTCACACTGCAGTGCTCAGAGACTGCATGATTTGGGTGATGAATCCAAGATGCTTCCTCTCTGGAGACAAGTAAGTATTTTAGATGACCTACTGCTGTGATGGCGGCGTAGCTCTGATTGCTTATATTTATCTAGTACATGCAGTAGCTTTCTTGCTTCCGTTATGTCTTAGTTGGTTGACTAGAAACTGTGATTCAAATATTGCTTTAATTTATTTTATGCAGGCGGACCCTCGATTTGTTTGGAACAACTATATGATGGAACAACTGATAGATAACAAGGTCAGGTATCTATGTGCTTTGGGTTCATTTAATTCTCCCATTAGAGTGTTGACTCATTTGTTATGCCTTGCATTTACAGCTTGACCCGTTCTTGCTTCCTGTTGTCCAAGGCAGTATCCTTGTAATTCAGTTAAATACATGAATTTTTCAAGTAGTGTAGCTACTTTAACTCCTGCATAACTAGAGTTATTATTGTTACATTTTGATGAATACCTTAACTTATCATAAGGTTTTCACAATTTCCAAGCTGCAATTGGAAAAGACATTATTGATGTTACGCTGATTGCTAGGAGGTGCAACAGAAGAGCTGGTATTCATTTCTTTTTCTTGTTTATTCTCTCAACTTTGCAATTTGATAACGCACGGTGAATGCAAGTAATGAACAAGGTTGCAAATATTGTTATGTGTTTTATGTATAGTCATCCATTCTCATCAACTTGTCTATGAGCTGAATGCAAATTAATAACAATTCATGTTGCAACTTGCTCCATGTTATTCAGGTCCTCTGTTTATTTAATTTCATTCTCTTGGTTACTGCAATTGGCTCGTTAATGTAGGCACTCGAATGTGGAGAAGAGGGGCTGATTCTGATGGATTTGTTGCAAATTTTGTGGAAAGCGAGCAAATTATCCAGTTGAAAGGGTATACAGCATCATTTGTTCAGGTACACTCGCTCAAAGTTTGATTATGACTTTTTTCTACACTAACAATCTTGTTGCTCATGAAATACCCTTTTATACATATGTAGATAACTGAGGGGGATATCTAAAAATTCTGTCACAGTAGAGTTTGATGTTGAATTGATATTGCTGTGATAAAGTGTTGAAACTAATGCCGTAACCCTTATAACTTGTATTACCTTCTCTGTGTGCAAGTTGTGTGTCTGTTCCCTCTCTTTTAATGATTGAAGAAGGGGTTGATCAAAAAAGAGAAGAAAAAGGAATCGAGAGTACTAGGGTGGAGAACATGACGTCGTCAGAATAATGAAATAACTAAATCAATTATCAAGATGATTTTTGGTGTTCGGACCATTCTATATAGAAATCCTGCAATATTTATTTGACATATCAAAGCTTTCCCGTGAGCTTACTGTTGAAAGAACAGTTCAATACTCAGTACAGAACCTCTCAGATACAATGTACATTTTGGTACGGCAAAGGGCAATAAACTTAATCCTCTGCCTGACAATAACAAATCATCCACTTGCTAGAACTTCCATTAGTTGCTTCCTACAGGCTTATAGCTCACCCATCATAAGGAAAAGACCGAATCCTCAAAGAAGTAGCACTCGGACTATGAAGCAGTAGATAATATCTCGCATTAATACCATGATAAGTAAATAGACCTTGGGGGTAACTCAATCCAAAAGCTAGCTCATGAGATGAGAATTTTCCAAGACCATATAACAAGATCAAGTCCCCCATCCCCAACCAATATAGGACTCAACAATATGGAAAAGTGAATCTTTTGGCTAGTAGAGAAAGGGGAGGTTGGGAAATTCACAATCTTAATATAGATTTACGCTCATTTGTTCATTTTTTCACTTTTTGTTGAGCTATTCTGTTATTTCATTAAAATTATTGCCTTTTTGTAGGTCAGGGGCTCAATCCCATTACTATGGAATCAGATTGTTGATTTGACATATAAACCCAAGTTTGAGATAGTGAGAATTATAGAAGCAGTTGAGTAGCATTTCTGCCTCTTTTAGTTTCTTGATTCTGTAACACACTTAATGTGCTTTTCACTCTTAATGACTGTTGTGTAACATTCTGCAGCCTAGAGTTGTTGAGCGGCATTACTTGGACCTGAGAAAAAAGTATGGAAATGTACTATCAATTGATCTCGTCAATAAGGTATAATATTTCAACTAATTCTTGGTTTTCGAACTAGTTGATATATTAGAAAACATAGTTTGATTCTCTTCTTTTTTTGTGCATATGTAATAATAACTCGGAGGCAGTCTGGTCTTTGATCTTTTTAATGTGATATGTATGAAAAACATTCTATGTATTTTACATCGATATATCTAGACAATTTTATCTATCGTCCTTAACTTTTTTTTTATCCAAAATGCTTATCAGCATGGAGGAGAAGGACGCCTATGTGAAAAGTTCGCAAATGCAATGCAGCATGTTGCTGCTGATGATGTGAAGTAGGTTTCTAATTATTTTTCTTGTGGTAAATCATATGGATCTTTTTAAGTACCACACTTCATTCTAATATCTTATGACTTATGCAGATACTTGCACTTTGATTTTCACCACATATGCGGGCATGTTCATTTTGAACTCCTTTCTATCCTCTATGATCAAATTGAGGATTTTTTCATTAAAAATAGGTATGTTTCTTCCGAGTGTAGATCTATATATAAACACACACACACACATATGTACCCATCTTGTATAGAGTTTCAGTTTCCTCAACCCCTCACTAGTCGTAAATCATGTGGGATTACATGAAAATATGCTCTTATTTCTGAATCTCATCTACCTGGAGAGGGATGATAATGGAGCTGGGATGTGCGTGGACCCAATCTAGCCAGACGCCATTGGGCCAGGCTTGGTCTGTAAATCGTGGAGGGTTTGGTGGGTTAACCATAAAGAATTTTAACTGTTCTTTTTACTCTTTATTCTTTCTGGGAGGACAAACCAGTTAAACCTGGCTTACCAAGAACTAGTAAAGGAATCCAGTGTAAGTCAGCATGTTACACTTTCATAGAATGAACTATTAGAAACAAATAAGTGAAGTTGAATGTGCCATTTCATGTTATACATCTCTAGAGCAAAAGATTATGCCAAAACAACTTTATGCATGAAGAGACAGCAGCACTAGTAGCGAGGAGAGAGCTCTTTTTCTTATTTGGTTTGAAAATTGGGGAGAAACTGAAAATCTAAACCAAATAGAAGACTGTATCAGGAAATATTATGAGAAAGAGAGAGTGAGAGAGATGGGACTGATAACGATTAATTGCATGGTGTTGTTTAGAGACTTCAAATTTGCATCCATCATAAAGTAATGATTTCTCTTTGGTGTTTTGTCAGGAACAGATACGCTTTCTTTACCACTCTGTTTCTTGTAGTATATAATTGTTGACTGTTGTTTCACCTGACCTTGATGTTAAATTTGGATTTCTTATTCTCATGGTATAGGTATTTTCTGTTAAATGAGAAAGGTGAGAAAGTTGAACTGCAACTTGGAGTTTTGAGGACCAACTGCATTGACTGCTTAGACCGTACAAATGTAACTCAGGTACCTTCCCTCCTGTGGAAACATTACTATCATTGGTGCTTGATGTGGATGCATATAAAAGACGAGTTTCATTTCTTAGTTCAGAGAGGAAAATACTGACATCACAACTGCTTGTGCAGATTTTCCATTTAACTCTTTAAGAATTGTCGATTGTGGAAGGGTACAACATAATAGTCACTAAGCTTTCTCTACTTACCTTTGGGTGCCTATTTGAATCTCCTTCACTAGCTTCAAAATATTCAGTTGACAATTTTTCTGTACATAGACATGTTAACTAGAGATGATTTGCAAGTTCATAATTTGTACTGCCTTTCTGGTTCTAGGCAGGCTTCTATTGAATGTCCCGACTGGGAGTGAATGTTACTTCCTAAATCTAGAAAGTTGGAAGATTCACTCTGGCTTAATAATTGACACTGTTTTCTATAATTATTCATTTGTTGGTCGTGGGACTGGGATCAGGACAGGAATGGTTGATATGGTTGTGCCTTGGGACTTAAACCACTAGAGAATCATGTACCAACTAATAGATTCGGATCCACTTTTTTTCAACTTCTCATCACACTTTACGGATGCCCTAATTGATGATGTTTGTTTGCAGAGTATGCTAGGTCGGAAAATGCTCGAATTCCAACTGAGAAGGCTTGGTGCTTTCGATGCTGAAGAAACTATTAGCTCCCACCCCAACCTTGACGAAAGCTTCAAACTCTGTGAGAAGTTTTTGATATCTGTGTTAAAGCTTCTATGCTGGATAGATATTAAGCTTCTTTATATTGACCTGTTTATTCTTTTACCTTAAAATCTATTTGCAGTGTGGGCCAACCATGGGGATGATATAAGCATCCAGTATTCTGGTACTCCAGCTTTAAAGGGAGATTTTGTCAGGTAACAACTTTCTTGTTCTGCTTAAAGAAGATGGTATCATATGAAGGCAGCATTAGTACAAAACATATTTTTGGGGATTGCATTGATATAAATGCATAGATAGTAGGATCCAAACCCTGACAAAGTTCCGAAATCAACGAACAATATTATATAACCATCATTGACATTGGTACTAGTTTTTGGCCAATTACATTCATATCAAGAGTAAGAATCTGGGATTGGATCTTTAAATGCCAACTGCACAATTCCATCGATAGTTTATCTCGAGATCATGATGGATATAGCATACAACTTTATAAGTTGTAGTAAAAAAATTGATCTTACGACCTCAAGCTTTTTCTTTCGCCGATCAATGTCACGATATCAACACTGTTGTTTGATATGCAGATGTGGTCACAGAACAGCCCAGGGGGTTCTCGCTGACGGATGTAATGCCCTAACACGATACTACTTGAACAATTTTGTTGATGGTACTAAACAGGTAATGATGCTTCTTTCCAGCAATTAGATTTTACTCAGGTCTGTACGTCATATCAAGTTGGTAGCGTTCATTATGTGCTGTCACTTGCAACTTGGTTTCATACTTATTTCATGTATGGCTTTTCCTTTCATGTCTTGCCCAAAAACTTTCTTTATTCTCATTGGAGAAAGACTCTCCCGCGGCCAGGTTTTACACATAGGGCCAGCTGCTTTCTTTATATCGCTTGCCCTTAGTCCGTCTAGCGCCGTTCGTGATCCCCACTTCACTCCTATTCCATTCCTTTCGACTCGCAATCACAATAGCCGTACAGTCGAATGGTTGAGTTAGACGGGGGGATAACGGTTGAACTATCAAAGAGGTTCGCTACCAAAGAATTAGGAGTTATAACATTCATAAAAGAAAGAAAAAACCAATATAATGCAAGCCTTCTGCAAAGTATTAACTGAACCTAGTATCATCATTTGCAGTGTACTGCCATTTTATTGGATTAGTTTCTTGTTGACTTCTAGGTGATACTCTCATTAAGAATGTTTAACCTGTTGTGTGTCCCAGTATCTAGGTTGGAATTGGCTGCAACAACTTTGAGCTTCTATATTTCCAATTTGGACACTGAATTCGTTTATGCTATTTTTTATATCATGAAGGATGCAGTTGATTTATTGCAAGGACACTATATTCCAGCTGTCTCTCGAGATATGAAACCATCATCCCAAAAAGGAAGCATTGAGACTAAAGCTGTGAGTCTTATTACTTGTTCTGCTGTGATCATGCTTAACATGCTCCTATTTATCAGATTCCTGTGATTAGACCATATTGACATACTAAATTATTGACTTCACCAACCCTCTTAATTGCATCTGCAAAGTTGTTTTGACTTAAGACCGAAGTGTTCAATCTATTGACTAGTGACCCGTCAGTCTTATTCTTTTCTTTAACTTTAGAGGATTGACAAGTTTATTATTTTACCAACACATAGACTTGGCCCAAAGCATATGCTAGGTCTTTATTGAAGCCAAAAAATAAATGTGTTCCTTATCGGCTTAATTCTCATTCGATTTTTTATCCAATTAGCTAAATGATGAAATTTTCTGTTTCACGGTATCTACTCTCCAGCCATTTAGTATGACAACCCTTAATCAGGGCTTATACAATGTTCTTTTTACTTCTTTGTATCTCATTCCCTTTTTCCTTTTTAATGAATATAGTCTTAAATGTGCATTATTAACTTTCATTACCATCCGTTGTAATCAAGGCCTACACTTGCCTAACAAGTATCTTATGTGATTACAGTCGTTTCCTCTGGCATTGGCACTAATATTGACTGGGTTGTTCTTTGCAATGTTGTCGCTAAGGAAAGGTGAGTTGGCATAATTTGAATGTGTTTCTTATTGTGCTCTTCAACAATTATCTTTGAAGGTGTGTTAAAAGAATCCAAATCCTGTTAATGCCTAACAAGTATCTTACCCATGTTTCCTGTTTTGTACTTCCCTATCTATAGTTCGGCATGATCTCCGGAGTCTGCTATATGCAGTGGTTTGGGCAAGCATAAGTTTGGGCATAGCTGCATTTGTGAGAGCCAATGGTCGAATGTTCTGTAACAGGCCTAGCCTGCACCAATCAAGGCGTTGATTTTGGGTTCAGAATGCTTGGTAGGAGCTATGTTTGCTAGAATTGCCAGATTTTTCATATGCTTTGTAAAAAATTTGGTTATTGTGTGTTCTTTTCATGTCTTTGATAATTTTCTTTTTGATCATTCATTTAAAAGGTCCTAGTTACATGATTATTTGTATATTGAAATGGTTCTGAGTTGATATTTCTAGAAATTGAATCTCGGCTTCGCCATGATTTGGTAACTGTTACTGTTACTCTCTAAGTTGTATGATCTCTATGTTTGTCTTATGATCCTTTCTCCTTGATGCATTATGTCAAAGTCCCAAAGGAGGGCAAAGGGTGGTGGTTTCAGCTAGTTCTGGAAATGTTATGTCATGTAGTCATCCTACACAACATTTTTTTTTCTTTTTTTATGTCATGTGCGCCAGTTTGACCGCACGTGGTCTATTCTATTAGGTATCTGCTACCTCCCACCAAATAGGCATCTTGCAACTTTACCCACCAAAGCACATAGATAAGAAGAAATCACCTGATGTTTTTGTCTTTGTTGGGATCTGAACTCTGGTCTCTCATGATTTTTGCCCACTTCATTGACCATTAGATCATACTCGTGTGTGCAAACATGATGTGTATTCAAGGAAATGTTGTTTCTACTAAACGAGGTAAATAATTTGGTCAAATTAGATCCACTATAATTTAAATCCGAACATTGTGGCATCCAGATGAAGTATTTTTAGGGTAAACACTTACTTGGCCTGCTTCATCTGTTCCTAATAATGCTTCAGAATTTATTTCTACTACTGAGATAAACAGCAGAAATATGATAGTTGTAAAAAGATAGCTTTGTAGCCTTAAATACATTACTTGGGATGACTTGGAATGGCATAGGGAGGCCAATAGAGGTGAAACTGGATCTTATAAGTAACAGTGATCCCAGACAGATCCACTGGAGAAGATGTCACGTAACCTTGAACAAACAGAAAATCACCAGTTCCTCCGACAACAGGATGGTTAGATGGCTTTGTATTGTGTGTGCCTCCCACAACTGATATTGAGCCTTTGTAATGATTCATCATCAAAGTGATCTTAGCAATAGATATGCTCTGCAGTCCATTCAACGAGGATGTTATCGATGTTCCTTCAGCTGTCCCAACTATCTTTGAGTTTGAGTTGGCTTTTAGAGTTAAGGGATCTTGGAACACATATAAGGTGCCAAAAGGGGTCGTGGTTTGGCTTATGGACGGTCCTGCAACACCATTCACTATAAGATATGCTGTTTTATTTATGGTTTCGTGTTGAAAGAGAGTAAAATGGATAGATTTGAGTTCATGGTGATGGTGGTGGTGGTGAGAAATTGAGCTAGCCTCATGAAACAAGAGGACGAAAAGAAGAAGATACGAAAGAAAAGAAAAGTAGCATACAGAGAGAGCCATTGTAGTCTAACAAAGCAATATGGTTCTATTATAATACAGAGGTTACCACCTTTTCCTTTTTTTTATAATAGCAGTGTCTATGCCAGTTTGTATGCACTTCAACTATTTCATTCGGTGCCTGCTACTTTTTATTAACACAGTTATCAAGTAACTTTGTCCACCGAGGGTTAAACAAATAGGAAGAGATCACTTAACTTTTACTAGAAATTGAATATTGATCTGCCATTTTCACCTACTTCATGAACAAGGACCCACCATTGACTTCAAGTCTTACCACAGCCTTTGGGCATGGAATTAATGAGTCCTGCCATGGCTTTACTTGGAAGTTTCAAAGTCTCCAAGCAAGATGACTGAGATGGACAGAATCTCAAAAGTATTTTCGTGAGTGGTAACTTTTAGGTAAAACGTTATTATCATGAAGAAAATGAAGTCAATAGAAGAGTTTTTCCACCATGCCCTAGTACGTGATGATTGGATTATTAGTCATTTATCTTGACAATTTTGGCACAGAAGGACCAAATTATTGTTCATTTTAATCCAAAAGAAATTTCTTGGTGTTGAATATTGTCTATATGACTTAAAAGAAAGAAATGAAACAGAGTCAGGGCTGAACCTGAGATTCTAATTACAGAGCCAACAGGTATAACCAAGGGCTATTTACTAACATTGGCCTATGAGGCTTAGCGAATTTTTAAAAAAAAAATGTAATTAAAGGAACAACCAGAGCTTACTCTATAATTTTGAAAGAATGACTGATCATCCTTAATATCAGAGAGTCAATAAACTTAGAGATATTCCCTTTGAAGCATTGTGGACATTAGCAATGTTGAATAATTGCAACTACTGATCTGAGGAAAAACTCGGTAAAATTCATTTAAACGACTCATAATAGCAATCAGTTTACAACTTCTTTTCCTTCTCCAAATGAGGATACAGTCGCTGGAAGTTCCAACACTTCCCATACCAAGTGTCGTAAACCAAAATCAGGAAACTATACCTTTGGGGAATACAGTTTGTAGTCTGCCAAAAGAGGAATTGCTAATGTGAGACGCACCTGAAGTTCGGATCAGAACATCAGGATCAGGTGCCAATCCCATGTATGCCTCTCTATATCTACCAGCTTTATGACATGATCTAGCTGCATTTTTTCTTCAGTTATTTCTGCATTTTGAGATTGGTTCACATTTACTTCTTGGATTTCGTTCCATTTCTAACGGTGTGCACGATCTCATCAGTAGACGTGTAGGCCACACAGATAAGGAGACTGCTCTTGGTGTTTTTGGCAGTGACTTGCATCACCTTCTCAGCTGCAACTCTAACCGGCTCGTCAAGAAGCTTCAGGTTCCCCACGAATGGATTCCCACTCCATATTCGTTGATAACAGTTTCTTGCTTGAGTAGTCCTTCGATTTTCTCCAGCATTAAGTCCATCAAGTACTGAACTTCCTCTGGGCTTCTTCTGAAATTATCAATGTTGAATGCATATATTGTCATGTATTTGACACCCAATTCATAGCAATACTTGAGCATGCACATGAGAGTCAAAAATCCAGTTCAGCAACATTCCATTGTATGGCATACCTCCGATGCCCATCCAGAATAAAGGCGGTGTGGTTTGGAATTGAACCACCGATAAAATGCAGAATAGAAATCTGTGCATATTGACGAATGAACTAGCAACCAACCCCCTTGCTAAACCATCAATTGTCTTCAACATTTTTCTAATCCCAAATTCAAATAATTGTAGTTCAAGTGTCAAAACCTGCAGTCAACATTCATATAAAAAAGAAAGAATATTAGGACTCCAGACATAGACGATTCAGAATGCATCAAAGTTTCCAAATGCTTAAGGATTTTTATAGACAAACGTCAATAACCATGACGAATTAAGATTACCATTCAAAGGTGGTTTCTTTTGGGTCAAGACCTCGATATTTCCTCAGACTCGCACCAGTAATATGAGATTATACTCAAGATAAAGATTGTATATAAAGTACAAGAACGGTAAATATTGAAGAAAAAAGAGTAAACCAGAGAGGTATATCAAACAGAAACACCCCAAACATGTTGCTGGAGAAGGTATTCGAGGGGACACTGAGATGGCCGAAAGCTGGAGAATGATGCTTTTAGCTAAGTAAATGTAAAAAGCTAGGGATCTCTAGTTCATTAGCAACATCCTCCATGTGGTCGAATTATAAGGGCCTGCATTTACATCATAATACAATTCAGAGTTTTGGTCTTTTACCTAAAATCGACCTAAATTCCAAACCTCAAGAATCTATGTATTTGTTCCTTATGACTTGCAGAAAGAAACAAATAAACATGATAAAGGGGAAAGTAGATTCTCTAACTATATCTAGGAACAAATCATCAAAATGGAGGGTCATTAACACTAATCCAATTTAAGGGCTTAAGCTGAAGCTAAAAACAATTTACGTAGTAAACATGACAGTCTTCCAATCTTCTCTAGTTGCAACGAAATAGGAGGGGTTAAGCAAGCATCAGATTAATCTTTCTCAATCCACAGACTATATCAGTTAAGTTTTATAAAAAAAATTTAGCAGTTAAATGTTAAGAAATCACCACCAACTTAATTAATTTCCAAGACATTTCAAAGAAGAATCTAGAATATTCAAGAGTTATAAAGAAATAAAAGAAGAGCTCTAGAATGAGTATTCTAGAGAGAAAAGTCTAGAGTTGTTCTAGATAAGATAGTTCTAGAAATAGGAAGTTAGAAGAACATTCTAGAATGTAGTAGCAAAACCCTTAGCTAGATTCTTCCATCACCACCTATAAATAGAGGTGGTCCATTTGAGTTGTAA